TGGGCTTTTTATCATTGTGATGGGCATGTAATAGGGCTCAGTAAATATTGATTTCCTCCTCATTCAACTTTAATCAACAAAACATCCAGAACACCACGAGAAGAGACAGAATGAAGGTTTTCTTGTTTCTGGGCTACACTTTCTGGGCTGCGCTCAGGGCTTATTTCCAGGTTCTGTAATTAGATAATCACTCCTGGCTGGCTTCAGTGGTGGTGCTGAGGATGAAATTTGGGTTGGCTTAGTGAAGGCCTTCCCTGCTGTACTATCTCTGGCCCCGAAGACTTTTATCTCCTACATCGAGACTTCTGTTCCCTAAATTACAGATGCGCACCAGGGAGACTAAGGTGACTGATGACCAGCCTAGGTCACTCACATGCTGCGTTGCACTTCATTGGTTCCAAATAGCAGTCAGCTTTCGAAATTGTAAAGATTCTATTAACCAGCAGAGGGCGCTCGAGCTATGTGCTAAACTGAAGTTTCTTGAGGGTGGAAAAAGCTTTGAGTGAGGTTTCCAGTCCCAGAAAAGCCTTTATAACCTGGAGGCAACCTAGGGTTTCGGCTCCGTCTGGCAGATTGTATCTACTGCCCACCTTTTCAGTCCAAGGCCAGTCTTCCTGTGATATCCTAAGCCCACACCGAGCTCATGGGAATCGTTGATGGGACTGAGCAGGAACCACAGGAAGCAGGAGATCCCTGAAACTTCCAAGACTGATGTGAGATAAAGATGCTTCTTTCCTCCTAGGCAACCTTGGATTTGGCTGATTATGGAGCACAGACCCTCCACAGGGAGGACTTCTGGAGGGTGACAGGTGTCTACAGGCAGGACACCAGCCATCTGTCTCCCAAACTAGGAGCATAGTCAGGTCAAATGTTAATTAAGCAGTGGCTAGGAATTTTAAAGGAGCCAAGATCCTTTACAGGATTCACCAATAAGGAAAGGAATAAAAATTATTATTATTTTAAACTTAGTCACCATGAGATTACAATTATTCAGGATTGGGTTTCAGGCAAACAATTATTTCAACACCAATCCCTTCACCAGTGCTCATTTCCCTCCACCAATTTCTCTCCCTCAACCCACAGTCTGCCTCTGTGAGGGGCACTTTTTGGAATAAAAGTTATTTTGAAGAGTCCCAGCAATTCCCAGTATTCTGATTCCACTGAAGAAAGTGGGTGGTGGAAATTCAGAACCAATCTTGCGGAAACCTGGACATTCTCTGCTTAGGTGCTAGAGGAATTAGCTAGCAGAACCTTGTTCGGAATCTGTCTTTTGCTCTATCTACCTGCGCTCTGGGCTCTCCCAGCCACAGCTTGATTTATTGAGCTAAACAAGTCAGCGGCTAATTTGTTCATTCATGGCTGTCTTTTGAGAAGTGGTCCTGGGGATAAAGATGAAGATCATTGAAAAACAAGTCAGTTTCCACGGGCAGGACCTCACAAAATAGGTCACCCTGGCTGTCCACTGGCCCGAGGGAGGCTGGAATCCCATTAACCTCAATCGAGCAGGCTTGGTAAGGAGGGGCCAGGCTGTTTCTGCAAAACAAAACTTGGCTGCATGGAGGCTTCCTAATTTGACTTCCTAATGAGATTTGGAAGAGGAAAGGGGAGACTGGGGTATGGGAAAATCAAAGGAAAATTCCTTTGGCTTAACAAGCTGGTAGCACTGAGGGCAAAGAGTTTGGGTGGTAGGGAGCTCTGAGTGTTTGCCAGCAATTAGTCCTGTTCCACTGTGGTCTTCGGGAATCTGAGAGGAGTAGGTGAAGCGTGAAAAAAAAAAAAACCCACTAGCTACTTTTTTTTTTCCTGAAAGTCACTCCCATCTTAAAAAAAAAAATGCTCACTGACTCTTCTTGGTGTGGCACAAATGCCCAGCCTCTCTCTTGTCTCATCTTGCTGGCATGCTATCTTCACTTTCGATTCTTATTTCTCAGCTCCTGGCTGTTCATCCCAGAAAGGATTCCCCAGTGGGTTAGAGGAACTTTAGGCTGGCAAGTCCAATGGGCGTGTCATGGCGCCGAGTCTTGCTACACATCTCCTGGCTGGACACAGCCCCACGGTTATCCTGTTTGCCAGATTCTCTGGCACCCGGCGTCCTCTCTCAGCCTTCCAGAGACTTCTTTTCTCTTTCCTCATCTGGCAGATCCCCCCTGAGATGAAGTGTGGGTGCTCCTTAGGATCCTATCCTAAGGATTTGACTCTTACCTGCAAGTTCTCTTTTCAGGTAGGTAAAAACCAAGTGCTCTTGCCATTGCTTCTCATTCCTTGACTATTTCCAGTTTTCGATTTCAGACAAGCTCGGGCGCATTCAGTCTGGCATGATTATGAGCCCAATTTTCAATTTTAATGTAAAATTCTTCTCCCTTATTTTTTATTTATTTTTTTGCTTTTTGGGTCACACCCAGCTATGCTCAGGGGTTACTCCTGGCTCATGCACTCAGGAATTACTCCTGGCGGTGCTCGGGGGACCATATAGGATGCTGGGAATGGAACCTGGGTAGGCCATGTTGGCTGCGTGCAAGGCAAACGCTCTACCGGCTGTGCTATTGCTCCAGCCCCCTCCCTTAGTTTTAATGCTTAGAGTTTACTGTGTACTTAACACCTCCAACTGGGTGCCATTATTATTTTTTTTTCCGGTGATGGAAAGGAAACCCAGAATCTCACACCTGCGAGGTATTCCTGTCTCCCCTGAGCCACATCCACAGCCTAATTGGAGATCTCCAACTTAACACAACCAGAACTGAACTCATGAGCTTTCCTGTTGAAATTCCTTTGTTATCAACTTCTGAGGGGTCCCAACCACTCATTACTTATCCCAGACAGACACCTGAGAAGCATCTTTCTGACCTCTCCCCCATTTGTTTTGTTTTTTCTTTGGGGGCCTCACCCAATGATGCTCAGTATCCACTCCTGACTCTGTGCTCAGGAATAACTCCTGAACGACTTGGCTGACCATATGGGGTGCCGGGGATTGAATCCAGGTCGGCTGCGTATGAGGCAAATACCCTATTAGCTGTACCATCTCTCTTTCCCCTTGGAAGCCACCTTAAACTATTTGCCTTCTTCACCTTCTTTTTTATTGGTGGTAGAGGGTACATCCAGCAGGGCATAGGGGCTGCTCCCAGGAGTACACAGGGAATCTGTGCCTTCCACATGCAAGGCAAATGCTCAGCCCTTTGAGCCAAACCTTCAGCTCTGTGAAGTCCCTCCCTCCTTATCCAAACGGTCAGCACAGTCTGTGTTTGCTCCTCGACTTCTGGTCTCCTGTAAACCTATACTGCCTCTGTCTTGTTTCTAACGCTCTCCCTGGCATCTGCAGTAACTTCCCCACTGGCCTGGCATCATCTACTCATCACTTTCATATTAGAGCCAAAGTCTTACTTTTTAAAAAATGAAAATCTGATAACATCGTTATCCTGCTTAAAACCAATCATTCCCCATTACTCTTAATTTAAAATTATAAAAAAAAATAAATTTTGTGGCGTGGCTTGATTCCACAATGCCTCTGCACTAAGCTCACCTTTGATTTCTGGACTACCACTTCTTAGTATCTCAAGTATGCTCCCTCCCCTGAAATCTCTTTAGATTTTTCTATAATATTCTTTTGCTTTGATTCTTTTTGGGGGAGATAGGGAACAATATGGGTCCCATCTGGCTGTGCCCAGGGCTTACTCCTGGCTCTGTGCTTAGGGGGTCACTTCTGGAAGTGCTCAGGGAACTTGACATGGTGCTGGAGAATGAACCCAGGTTGGCTTCATGCAAGTCATGCACTTGATCTGCTGTTCTATCTCTTTGCTCCCAGCTTTGTTTCTCTCCCTAGTTAACTCCCACTGATGCCTGAGCTCTTAGCTTACTTGTCACTTCCTCAGGGAAGCTTTCTCGGATCCTCAGCTAGGCTGGGGCCCCAGTAAGACACTTTCCTGACTCTTTAGATCCTTACTTCATAGACACAGAACGTATGTCAACATTTAATTAATTTGGGGACCTCTGGTTCACACATTTCTAAACCCAGGTTCCTCAAGGAAAAACCACAATACAGACTTCTGAGTGGGGTAAAAAATGAGCAGCTACAGACTCAGGGCATTCCAACCACACCTGACATCGAGGCCCTGCCACTGGGGACCAGGGTGAGGAGTTATTCATATCAAGCTCGTGGGCCCCATGGAACCCAGAGTAGCTGAAGGGAGAACCTGAGCTAACAGAATTCAGGGGCACCCTTGGTCCTGGAGGCTAAGAGGAGCTAGGAAACATCTAAGAAGGGACTGGAATTCTATTTGGATTCTGAAGAGATCACGCTGGCAACAGTATGGATGAGGGATAAGATGGTGGAGATGACAGAGAGGGAGGATGTTAGTGCAAGGAAGAACCGGTGGCAGGACTACGGCTTGTGGGACTCATTTGTGAAATGTTAAGAAGTTACTGATGGGAGCGATGTGGGCCACACAGAGGGAGGTGACCAAGAAGCAGATTTTTCTGTCTGCCTTTCTTTCATCTATTTATCATCTATCACTTTTCCTACCAACCTGGGGAGTGGTAGTTTTGGAACCTTATCAGCATACCTCTGGTCAAAAGAACAAAGGGGAAGGTGAGCTCTCCAAGAAATGGAGGAGGCAGGGAGGAGAGGGACACACACACGAAATGGAGAAAACAGAAAAGAACAGAGATTGTGCATGAACACAGGGGAGAACCTGGCTTTCCACGAGTGACCTCAGTGTTCCGAGGCCTGGGAGCGGCAGCCTAAGGTGTCTGAGTGAATTAACTTGAAGTGGAGTCATTATTCTGAGTTTGGTGCTCTGCAGAGCTAAAGCCACTGGGGCCCCCGAGAACAAGCTTGCATTCCCGAAAGGTTGGGGGCCCACAAGACACTGCACTCAGTGGCTGAGCTCCATCTTTTCCTGGTGAGGGACATGGCTGCCTTTAAGGATGGAATGGGCAGGCCTGGCAGTGGGGGGCGAGGGGGCTCTGAGGTGAAGGTTGGACATGGGGGTCTGTTGGCTACTTACACGTTGAGAGGCTGCCAGGCTGGCCACTGGGCTTTGGCTTTGATGACGGTGAGGACCTCATCGCTCTGCAATAAAAGGAGCACAGATATTTAGTGAGGAGAGCTGGGCTCCTGGGCCCACAAGATTCTGACGGGATACGCGGGCCCATCTGCACTCCCTTCCCTGCCCTTGAGGCTCTCTACTGCTCAGGTGTGCAGCCATTCCTCTCATCAGGGAACCCTAGAGCCTAAGCAATCCCAGCTGGCGGGGCGGAGGGTCCAGTGTGTCTAAGCACATGGATACAGAAGGCCCCTGCCACCCTCAACCTTGCTGTTCTGCTCAATCCACCCTTGCACAGGAGCCAAAGGGTTGCCCGGGACTGACACAGTGTGCCCAGCCCAGAGGGCAGGATGGTGCTCCAGGCCAGATGGCTATGTGGCCAACACAGGACCTAGAGGTCACTCTTGCCCAACATGACCCCAATATCAGATTAGAATCCTCTAAATGGGCTGGCCACAATGAAGCCTAGGCCCATGGCCCTGAGTCCCTCATTCTGTTCTACTTTGCATTGGGGGATATTTAGGTCCGCCTAAGAGCATGGGAACCAAGTTAATTTTTGAAAAACTGGGGCCAAGGCACACCCAGCAGTGCTCAGGGATCACTCTCAGTATGGTACTTGTGAGCCAATGCCTGCGGGCCTTGGGGAGATGCAGTGCCACAGAGCTGGGGTGAGCCTGGGCTTCCTGCCACCAAGCACACACTCCAGTCCTGAGCCATCTCCCTGGACCCTAAAATAAATTTTTGAGGAAGAATTTGATACTTAACATTTTTGTTGTTGTTATTTTGGGGCCACATTCTGCTGTCTTGGGGACTTACTCCTGGCTCTGCCTTCAGACATCACTCTTGGTGGGGCTTGGATCCTGGCACTGGAGATCACCCCTGATGCCAGGATTCAGCCTGGGCTGGGCATGTGCAAGGAAATTGCCTTACCTGCTGTACTCTGGCCTGATCATTAACATTTTGAAAGAAAATGTTAACTTATTATCACAAGGCAAAAATCAGAACTTAGGTTAGAGAGATAGCTCAGTGGCTGGAATACAAGCTTTGCATGTGGGAAGCTGGGTTTGGTCATTGGCGTTGCCAAGGGTGACCCCAGAGGACACAGCTGGGAGTAGCACTGAGCACTGCTAGATGTGCCTCCCCCCCCACCAAAAAAAAAAACCAAAGAAATAAACATAAAAAAGAAATCAAAACAATAAAAATCAGAATTTGTTGATCTCGCTTAATGTGAGACTTCCTTGTTTGTGTGTATATTCAATTACACATTGGAGACACGTGAGTATCACAATCTTTTCTTTTTCCAAAGATTATTATTATTATGTTGAGGCAATCTTAGTTTACATGACTGTGCACTTTAGAGATACAATATTTGGGAGAGTGGGGTTGGAGTGATAGTATAGAGGGTAGGGCTCTTGTCTTGCACACTGCCAATCCAGGTTCGATTCCTGCCATCCCTTATGGTTCCCCAAGCATGGCCAGAAGTAATTCCTGAGTGCAGAGCCAGGAGCAAGCCCTGAGTACCACACAGTGAGGCCCCCAAACCAATCAAAATCAGAAAACAAATAAAGCAAAAAAAGTCACAACTTCTTGGGGTAATTTTTCTGCCACACTCTTCTCCATATTATTACTATTGTTGTTATTATTATTATTATTATTAATTTTGAGACAAACTTTGTTTACATGATTGTGTGCTTTAGAAACACAATATTTTTTGGGGGGAGGGGGGAATTTTGTCGCCACACCTACCTGTGTTTAGGGCTTATTCCTGACTCTATAATTAACGATCACTCACTTCTGGTGGTACTTAGGGGGCCACAGACAGTGCTGGGGACTGAAACAGCATGTAAGACAACACCTTAACCCCTGTACTATCTTTTCAGCCCCAGGGATACAATTTTATGTTTCCTCAAACATAAAATTGATGATGTTGCCTCATCAAAATCACACCACAGTATCAGTGTCCTTCCTGACAGGGTGCCACACCCCTCCCTTCTCAATTCCCAATCCTGCTGCTTGTGATAATCTTCCCAGGGCTTGAGGTTCAGTTTCAGTTTCAGCTCTGACATTGGAAATCTCCCCAGAGTTGAATTCAGCGGGGACTGGGGGTCACACCACCCCTCCTGGCTTGTGCCCGGAAGTGCTCAGGCAGCATCCTTCATAATGCCCGGGGAAGTCCAGCATCTCTCCACCTGGCAAAGATGACCTTTGGTGCCAATTGAATAGGTCACTGGGCTCCAGGAGAGCAAAGGCTTGCTTGGCCTTTGCAATGTGGCCTGGTACCTAGAACATATTTGGGACAGATTGGTGAATTTCCCCATAGCTGGTGGGTACCTTGCCCAGAAACCCTCCAGAGGAAACTGGAAGGAAGGCAAGTCAGCAGCATCTTCAGACTGAGGCCCAAAGAGATAAAAAAGACTCCTGATCTAGAGCCATTTGTCCACAGAGCTCAGGTCTGTTCAGCTGGGCCTGGTTGGGTGGAAGTGAGGTACTTGAGGACTAACAAGCTGAGGCAGCGCTGCCACTCCCCACCACTCTGAAATTCACAGCCCTCCGCCCTGTCTAAGCCCAGGCTTCCTAGGGATTCCCTGTTTTGGTCAGAGGAAAGAATTGTTGAGGGCATAGACATCTCCACATTCACATGTCTGTGGGGAGAACGTTTTCAAGCTGTCTTTCGAGTAGTTTACATTTCTCAGAGGAGATTCATTGATTTTGGATCCTATCCCTCAGTCCTTCCTAAATGTGCTGAGTGGCTGAGAGGAGAGGCAAGCAGGAAGTCACAGGCGAGATGGAAGTGTCCCACGATGTCACGCCAAGTCTCCCAGACCCTGGTTTTCCTCGAGTCACTTGATCTATTTCAGGTCCTACACTGGACCCTATAATTCTGCTTCTCAACTAGTCAGCCCCATTGGGGCCTAAAAGCCCACCATCATTAGCCCAGGTTTGCTTGGACTTGAACGGGATACTGATTGTGATGAGTTCTCCGTCTCTCAACCCGTCCACAGAGGTGAGATCCCCGATGCATCCTGTTCACTTTCACCAACTGACCATCTCTTTTAGCACAGTCCCTTAACCTGGCCCTAGTACCGTCTTATTTCTTCCAATTCCACTTGCTACATTACTGCAACTCCCACTGCACCAGTTCCCTGTTGAGCCCTCCTGCAGTAACCACCGACATCCCTGACAATTTTGTGAATTTGGCCTGAAAAGTTCTCATGGTCTCTCTCTGGTATATGCCTTTATCTTTCATTCCTACAGGGAGTTGGGCCATACCAGGTGGTGCTTGGGTTCTTTTTCTGGCTCTGTGCTCAGGAGAGACCCTCGGTGGTGCTCATGGGGGACCATAGTGGTGCCTGGGATCTAACCTGCATCAGCCAGAAGCAGCCACTTGCAAAGCAAATGCCTTACCTCATGTACTGTTTCCAGTTTCTTTGATTCTTAATTTCAGAATAATACCTGCCCACTGTAGAGAATTATAGCATCATAGAATCATACAATGTTAAATCAGAGTGCATTAAGCTTTGGCATTCGCCCTGCCATGCCCATCGGTCTTTCCATCCTGTTTCAGTTTGGTGTGTACCATTCTAGACCTTTCATTCCACATATGCAACTATGTGTGTGTGTGTATGTACATTGATATAGATGTGTACATTAGATACAGCTTTTCCCATGGCCATCACATCATACCACAAGTCTTCTGCACCATGATTTTCATTTATTCATTTAATATAATATCCCATTTTGGGAAAATTTCCATGATAGAAGAGACAGAATTATAGCACTCCTTTTATTGATTTTTAAAATTTTAGAGATATTCAAATCATGGTAAACAAAGTCAAGATATAGAAAAAAGAAATACAAGGTATGGTATGAGATTCAAGTAATGAGTGAATGGCAATCCTTTTCCCCTTAAATACTTAACTGAAAAACCCAAAATCAATGTAGATGATATTAAAGTGGACACCAAGTTAGCTGGCCCTGCATTACAATGCAGTCTTGGTTTTCAAATCCCAAACTTACTACATATTGATTTTGCTTTTGCAGTATAGGACAACAAAAATTGTTTGTGCTTTCTATTAGTGTTTATGGTGATGAAATCCTATCAGTATTTTTAAGTGTAATGTAGGCGCCAAGGATGGCAGGTCCACATGTGTGAAATTAGAACAGTTTCCTGCCTTTAATTTTTTGATCTCGTTATTCCACACCATCTGCATGATCAACAGCTTATTGTTCTTATTTGTGGTCATTTGTGCTTCCCTGCTGAAATTAAGCAGGTGCATTCAGAAAGTTTATTTTAAGAGCTAAAATGCTCTGCTTAAAGCTTCAAAATTTCTCTAGTACCAATGGATCAGAACTGGAGAAATTGTCTATAGAACTAAGCTTATCTTGGTGCGATGGGGGGGCTAAGAGGGGCCTTGGAACTTTGGTGGAGGGAAGTGGACATTCTAGTAGGTGTGGTGCTGGACCAATGCATGCATGAAATAATCACTGACAGTATTATAAGCCATGTCCCTGCATAAAAATGGAGGTAGAAATAATAAAATACTAAAAAAAATCTCCCAGAATCCAGGTTCTAGGCACTGTGAGAATGATTGGTTTGGTCATGGCCAAATCCAAGTGTTAAATAAGCCATGCCATTCTTTCTGATATATACACAGGATTCTATAGTATGGGTGTCCTCTAATTTATTTAATTGCTGTATTGGTGGGTATTTAATTATTTCCACAAATGATGCTATGATGACCGCTTGAACACTTGACCAACTTGGGCACTGTTTCTTTGTTTTCATACCCAGGATTTCCTATGCCCTAGGTACCTAGGAGTGATTTAAAAAAATAAACAAGGGGGAAGAAAGCGCAGGTGTTGGAGATGCATGTCCCATTTGTGCAGAGACTCGAGTTCAAAACCTGGTATCACGTGCCACCTCTCCCCACTTCCCTAGCACCACCAGGTGTGCTCCTTGCGGCCCCTGGCACTACCAGGCCTAGAAGCACTGTATAGCCAGATCGAGCACTGAACCATCTAACCT